TGAAGAGACGGCACTTGCCGCCTTCCTGTCTTACTGCCCGGGCATGGACGTGGCCCTGCGCATGTACCCGCTCAAGTGAGTTTCCTGGTGCCCCAGGCTCCCCACGCCAGGGTCAGCCCCGTCCCCCGACCCCCGGCGAGCCTCCTCTGGGGAACAGGGTCTTCGCAGCTCCCCCTTGGCCTCGGCTCTCTCGGGTCCCCATTGCAGCTCCTGTTCTGGAGGGCTGCCCCTGCTGCCCACCGCCCGGGGTCTCCTCCAGCCCCGCCAGCCCTGGGCTCACGCTAGCGCCATCTCTCTCCCTTGCAGACCCAGCTGGTGGTTCTGTGCCTTCCCGTACAGCTTCCTCATCTTCGTCTACGATGAGATCCGCAAGCTGATCCTGCGCAGGAACCCCGGGGGTGAGGGGCAGCCCACCCTCCTACCCCCGCCCCCGCGTCCAGCCTTCGTCCCTGCGAGCTGCCCTCCCTCCCGTGAGGCAGCTCTCACACTCTCTCTCTCTCTCTCTCTCTCCAGGTTGGGTGGAGAAAGAAACCTACTATTGACCTCAGCCCCGCCACGTCGCCCGACTCCCCTTGCCCCCAGCCCAGGGCGGCCCCCGCCAGCCCCCATTTTGTACTCGTGGGCAGGGGCCCTCCTTTCTCCCCAGTGGCCCCAGCTGGGCCCCCACCTCCAGTTATCTCCCGTCTCTTCCCTCTGGCTGGCTTCTCTCCCCGCCCCACCCCTGCCTCTCCCCTCTTTTCTGTGTGTTTTCTCTCCTCTCCTCGCCTCCCTCCTCCCTGGGCTCTTTTTTATGCCCCCTCCTCCCCCCTCCCCTGGCCGATGCCACCTCTGGTCCTGGTCAACTACAAATATATCAGTGGGGACAGAGGCCGCGTGTGCTGTGCGTGGTGTCCGGAAGTGGCTGGGACGCGGTCCGAGTTCCCTGCTAGTGCCTGAGGAGACGGGGAGAGGCAGGGAGATTTAGGACGCTGGGAAGGCTGTGACGTCATGGTGATGATTTTGCTGCTGAACGGAGGCACCCACTCCCACACTGTGCCCTGCCCCTTGGGGTGCCTGTCCCACTGGGGCCTCGCCTGGTACAAGAGGCACAAAAAGCAGAAGTCATCTGTTCTGTTCAAAAGCCAGGAGGGGACGAACCTGGGCCGAGGACCCCAGCTGAGAGCTTGAGCTCCCCAGGGAGACCAGCAAATGCACCAAGTGCATGGGAGCTTCCCACGGACCACATGTGGCTGCAGCCCAAGTGTCCGGCCCTGCCCGCCATGCCCCTTCCTCCCCAGGCACAGCCCCCTACCCCACCCTGGGGTGACTGTGGTGCACTCTGCCCACCCCTCCTTTGGGGCTATTCCCAACTTGAGGCCTTCAGGCCTGGTGCAGCCAGGAACGTTCTGGTTGTGCCTTCTGATCACACACACACACACACACGCGCGCGGGCGTGGGATGGTGGGGATGGGTGGGGCGGGAGGCGCTGTCAGAGCCTCTTCCAGGCTCTTCAAGGTTTTGCCATAGTGTGCCTACCCTCTGGCTCCCCCTGCTGGCTCCATAGCGGAAGTGTGCCTACCCTCTGGCTCCCCTGCTGGCTCCATAGCCATAGTGTGGCTGCTCGCTGGCTCCCCCTGCTGGCCCTATTGCTATGCACCCGCGCTGCTCCCTCCTGTGCCCCTCCTGTGCCCCACCTGCCCCAAGGACATCCTAAAGTGGAACAGGAACCACAAATGCCCAAGGATGACAGGAACCCTTCCTCTGTATTTGAATTTCTTAAAAATCATTTTTATTGGAAAGGCAGGTTTACAGAGTGAAGGAGACAGAATAAATTTTTTAAAGGACTTATTTATTAGGGTCCTGCACGAAAGCAGAATTGGTTAAATCCTCACCTTGCGAGTTCCAGGATCCTATGTGGGCACCAGTCCATGTTCCAGCTGCTCCACTTCCCATCCAGCTCCTTGCTTGTGGCCTAAGAAAGCAATGGACTACAGCCCAAAGCCTTGGGACCCTGTACCCATGTGGGAGACCCGAAAGAAGCTCCTGGCTCCTGGCTTCAGACCGGCTCAATTCTGGCTGTTGTGGCTACTTGGGGAGTGAGCCAGCAGACAGAAGATATTTCTTTCCTTCTCTCTATAAAATTTAATCTGCCTTTCCAATAAAATACATGCCCACTTCTACCCACTGGTTCACTCCAAAATGGCCGTAACCTTGGGTGTGTCAGAAGCCAGGAGCTTCTTCTGGGTCTCCCACACAGGTGCAGGACCCCAAAGCCTGGGCCATGCTTTGCTATTTTCCCAGGCCACAAGCAGGCAGGAAATGGAGCAGCCAGGACATGAACCGGTGCTCATAGGGAAGCCAGCCCTGGCTGTTAACTCGCTACATCACAGAACAGGCTCCTGTACTTAATAGACAGACACAGGGGTCTTCCAGCTGCTGCTCACTCCCGAAAGGCCCACAGCAGCCATGGCTGGGCCGGGCTAAAGCCAGGAGCATCATCAGGGTCTGCAAGAGCAGCAGAGACCCGCACACTCACTGCCACCATGCAGGGAGTGCAGTGGCAGGAAGCTGGATGGGCAGCCGAGCAGCTGTGGCTTTACCCAGCGACATGGTGGGCATGCTGCAGCTACTGCCCACCAGCTCCCTGCCCATTGCCCTACAGCCAGCTCAGACAGGTACTGCCTCCCCCAATCCCAAAACTACTACCCTGAAACACCTCCCACCAGCCTCAAGGTAAAACCAAAAATGATGGTTGCAAGTGTGTGTGTGTGTGTGTGTGCGTGTGTGTGTGGAGGGGTGAACCAGTGGATGGAAATTCTCCATCTCCCCACTTGTCCAGTGCAAACAAAGAAATAAATATCATAAAAAGGAAATTCCTGGGTCCGGCGTGGTGGCCTAGGGACTAAAATCCTCACCTTAAACTTGCCAGGATCCCATATGGGCGCCGGTTCTAATCCCAGCAGCCCCAATTCCCATCCAGCTCCCTGCCTGTGGCCTGGGAAAGCAGTTGAGGACGGCCCAAAGCCTTGGGAACCTGCACCCGTGTGGGAGACCCAGAAGAGGCTCCTGGCTGCTGGTTTTGGATTGGCTCAGCACCGGCTGTTGTGGTTACTTAGGGAGTGAATCATTGGACAGAAGCTCTTCCTCTCTCTCTCTCTCTCTCTCTCTCTCTCTCTCTCTCTCCTCATATCTGAATTTGCAATAAAAATCAATAAATCTTTTTTAAAAAAAAAAGGAAATTCCCTCCCCTCCTACAGCCCCACCCTATGTCTTAGCGCCACATGCTGGCACCACACATGTCCAAGGCCCTGCCCCCATGCACCCTCTTTAACACTCCGACTCCTTGACTGTCTCCCTGAGGTTCACTCCAGGGCGAGGCCATGAGGGAGGCTGACCCCCTCCAAGCCCCTGTGGAAATCCCATGTCCTGGACCCAGCTCTGCCTTAGAGGTGCCACAGCCCCTCTGGCCACTGTCAAGTTTGAGGCTCCATTTGCAGAGGTCGTGACCTTAACGTCTCAGATGTGCCACTTACCGAGTGAGCAGCGAGCAGCTCCAACACGCGTGCTGTGTGGCTGGATCACCCAGAGCCAAGGAGAAGGTCCCCACTGCCAGAAGGGCCACACTGCAGGCTCAGGGAGGGGACTAGGTCCACACAGCCCAGCCAGCTCTGTCACCGCCTGTGACACCGGTTCCAGGCCTGGCTGCTCTATCCAGCTCCCTGCTAAGGAGCCTGGGGGAGACCATGGAACGTAGCCCAGGTATTTAGGTTCATGCCATCCCCATGGGGACCCTGATGGAGTTCCTGGCTTCTGGCTTCAGCCTGCCGTTTTGGCCTGGTCATTGCAGCCTCCTGAGAAGTGAGTCAGTAGGTGGAAGATCTCTCTCTGTGTAGTTATTTCAAATCTTTTTTTAAAAATATATGTTTATTTTTAAAATAAGAAAACAAAAATGTTTATTTTTATTGGAAAGGTAAATTTACAGAGAGAAAAAGAGACACAGAAAGATCTTCCATCTGTTGGCTCACTCCCCACATGGCCGCAATGGCTGGAGCTGAGCCTGTCTGAAGCCAAGAGCCAGGAGCCTCCTCTGGGTCTCCCAGGCCAGTGCAGGGTCCCAAGGCCTTGGGCTGTCCTTTACTGCTTTCCTAGGCCACAGGCAGGGAGCTGGATGGGAAGTGGAGCAGCCAGAACACAAACTGGCGCCCATGTAGGATCCCAGGGCCTACAAAGTGAGTATTTAGCCACTGAACCATTGTGCCCCTGCCCCGGCCACACTCCCCACCCCACCCCTGCCCCGGTGATGACAGGTGCGTCCTGTGTTGGAGTGTCTGGTTGGGTTCTGGCTGCAACTCCCTGATGATGTACGGCCTGGGACACAGCATTTGAGGCTCCAGTAATGGGGTTCCCCACGCCCACGTGGGAGACCTGAGTTGAGTGGGTGGCAGCTAAGTGTGTGTGCGTGTGTGTGTGTCTGCTCTGAGACAAATGTAAAATATTAAAACCCATAGGCCTCCCCTCCCCACCTCCTTCTGTCCTACCCAAAGCCTTCTTGTTCCCATTGTTATACCCACCCTGCTTGGGCTCAGAAGGACAGGGGCCTCCTCCCCAGTTAATGCACAGAAATCTTCAGCATTCCCAGTGCTCGACCTGCAGCCCAGGGACCAGCGCCTCCTCTAGGGAACTTGTTAGAAATGCAAATTTAATTGCCTACAGTCTAGACCGGCTGAGTCAGAACATCTGGGCCCGAAGCCCAGTGTTTAATCCAATCCTCCTGGGTGGCTTTTTTTTAATCTTCTAGAGTCCACGGGTAGCTCCGCACCTTCTCACTGTACTCGCCCGCAAGCCCTCTTCGGAGACTACAACTCCCACCGTGCCAGAGGCGCCCGTCCTCGGAAGGAACTACACCTCCCAAGATGCTGCACGCGGTCCCGCCATGCTGGCCGCGCCCCGCGCTCGGTGGCCGGCTGGACTACAACTCCCACAGTGCTGTGCGCCCAGCGCTCCGCCCCTCGGGGCCACGTCGCTGGGCCGGGGTGAGGCCTGGTTCGGGCGGGGTCGGGACCCAGGGCTGCAGACGGCGCCGCGACCGTCCCCGGCGCCGACATGGCGGCCCAGAAGGAGCCGCAGAAGGATGCCGAGGCGGAAGGGCTGAGCGCCACGTGAGCGAGCCGGCTGTGACCCGGGGAGGAGGTGTGGGGGGACCCGGCCCGGCCCCGTGCTCCCTCGGGCGGCAGGGGGTCGCTCCGCCTCCCGCCCCCCGACGGCTCCTGGTGTGACCCGGGACCCCGGAGTGGGCTGCTGCAGTGCGGTGCTCCCCGTCCTCCTCCCCGTCCTCCTCTTCCCCCGTCCTCCTCCTCCCCGTCCTCCTCTTCCCCCGTCCTCCTCCTCCTGTCCTCCTCCTCCCCCGTCCTCCTCTCCGTCCTCCTCTTCCCCCGTCCTCCTCCTCCCCGTCCTCCTCCTCCCCGTCCTCCTCCTCCTGTCCTCCTCCTCCCCCGTCCTCCTCTCCGTCCTCCTCTTCCCCCGTCCTCCTCCTCCCCGTCCTCCTCCTCCCCGTCCTCCTCCTCCTGTCCTCCCCTCAGTTCTCCCCATCCTCCCCTCCCTCCTCCCCCACTCTTCCTCCCCTCCCCTTCCTCTCTCCTCTCTTTTAGGGGAACCTGGGGTGCTGACCCCCGGCCTGCACTGACCCGGCCCCCCACCTTCCAGGTCCCTGCTGCCCAAGCTGATTTCGGCGGGCGCTGGCCGGGAGTGGCTGGAGCGGCGCCGTGCCACCATCCGGCCCTGGGGCGCCTTCGTGGCCCAGCACCGCTTCTCGCGGCCCCGCAACCTGGGCGAGCTCTGCCAGCGCCTGGTCCGCAATGTGGAGTACTTCCAGAGCAACTACGTGTTTGTGTTCCTGGGCCTCATCCTCTACTGCGTGTGAGTTCCCGTCCCCCGCGCGGGGCGCCCCTCTGGTGCCCAGGGCCACTGTGACCGCCGCCCCACCCCGTGTCCTCCCCTGCAGGGTGACGTCCCCCATGCTGCTGGTGGCCCTGGCTGTCTTCTTCGGCGCCTGCTACATCCTCTACCTGCGCACGCTGCAGTCCAAGCTCGTGCTCTTTGGTAACAAAACCGGGGGTTCTGGGAAGGCTCTGCAGAGTGTCCTGACTCCCTCCAAGCCTGCGCCCCACTAGGCCCTGCTCCCCAAAGCCGGAGCAGGGGCGGGGCAGCTCACCCCCAGCCGGCTCCCCAACCTCTGCTGCACCCACAGTGGACAGCAGGTGGCACCCTGACGCAGATCTGGAAGGCCTTTGGGTTGCTCAGAGAGAGGGAAGCTGACGCCACCACCTCTTGGGGTTCCCAGCTACTATCAAGGGGCATTGGGAAGTCGGTGCCCAGGGTGGAGAGAGAGAAAAGGCAGCAGGGCAAATAACAGATATGGCGGGAATCCTCCAGGGGTCTGCAGGGCAGTGGGCTGCGGTGGAGGGGCGTGGAAAGGTCCCTGAGGAAGCCCAGCTGCGGCTCAGCTCCGCTGGTTTGCAGTCAGTGGATCACACAGGCTGGGGCAGGAGTGCCCTCCCGGCTGATCCTGAAGCTGTGGGCTGAGGAACGCAAGGACAGGGGACAGGGGGACGACATGGGGACTTGGAGGAACTTGGAACTGGTGATGCTAGGTTGTTCGAGGGTGGCATGCGCCACTAGGAGACACTGCAGAGTGGGACTGACTGCCCGTGTCCCCTCTCCCCAGGCCGAGAGGTGACCCCGGCCCATCAGTACGCCCTGGCTGGAGGCGTGTCCTTTCCTTTCTTCTGGCTGGCAGGGGCGGGCTCGGCCGTCTTCTGGGTCCTGGGTGAGTACGGGGCTGGCTGAGGGAGGGGGCAGTGGGGAGGGGACATGGCCCTGAATCACCTGCCTTCCCCTGCAGGGGCCACCCTGGTGGTCATCGGCTCCCATGCTGCCTTCCACAAGATTGAGTCCGTGGATGGGGAGGAGCTGCAGATGGAGCCCGTGTGAGCTGGCCTCCCGGGCCAAGTGTCCCCACCCCTGCTTCCTGTCACAAGCTTGGGGAAGGTTTGCTTTTAGAAATAAAGCTATTCCGTTGTCATCTGGCAGTACAGGTCGCCCAGGTTTCCTGTGGGTCTCTGGGAGATGCTGGGAGACCAGAACGCGAGCTGGGAAGGGTGACAGTGAGCAGGATGGGCCAGGGAGGGTGACAGCGCATGAGCAGGGCACACCCATGGACACTGCAGGGCGGGGGCGGAGGGGAGGGCCGTCATGCAGTGACCGAGCCGAGGCAGCCCAGCACCGGGGTTGGGACGGCCTGTGGTACACAGCTCTGTCCAGCTGCCCACACATGGGGTATGGGCTTTGAGTGGACACGAGACACAGCACAGACAGGACCCCCACGAACCCCCATAATGAGCCATGACGAGGCATGTGACACGTGAACCAGGGGAGCCAGGCCAGAGACTCGGCTGGGCATGTAAGCACCAGGTGACCCCCAGCAGACTGCCTGGGAGGGGAGAGCGGGCACTGCCCAGCGGGAGTGTGGTCTCACACAGTCTAGACAGCAGGAGCCACTCCGGAAATCCAGGCTGCAGGGCGCTGTCCAGGGCCAGGCGGCCCGCAGGTAGGTGCCAAGACCAGCCCCCAGCCCCTGGGTTCAGTCCTCTGTCTGGGGAGAGTTCTGGAGGGAGTGGCCAGAGCAGTGTGGCACAGTGGGTACAACCACAGCTTGTCCCATATTAGCCCCAGATTGAGTGCCAGCTGCTCTGCTTCCCACCCAGCTCCCTGCTGATGCTCCTGGAAAAGCAGTGGAGGATGCCCAGGTCCTTGGGCACCTGCGTGGGAGACCCCAGTGGGATTTCAGGTTCGTGGCTTGAGCCCGACACAGCCCCAGGTGTTGTGGCTGTTTGGGGAGGGAAGGAGGATACCTCTGCTTCCTCCCATTGCCGCCCCCCCCCCATTGCTTTGTCTTTCAAATCTTTAAAAAAAAGACTGTGGAGGTGGCCAGAGAGGGCCTTCCTGAGGTGACCCTAGGTCTGGGGGCTGTAGATGGTAGAGGCAGAGGAGAGAGGTTGGGCAGGTGCACCAGGGCGGGGGAGATGGCAGAGGCCCAATTCACTGTCCACTGTCCCATGAAGACCACCAGCTGGAAACCGAAAGAATCATCCTTGGGCAGCAAGGCACTTCCCGGATGGATCCTGGGCCTCTGCAGACTCGGGGGAAGGCTGAGCTGGAGGCTCTTGAAGGAAGTGACTTGGCCATGAGCCCTGAGAGATGTGGAGCCAACTGCAGGTAGAAGCTCCCAAGCAGAGGGACCCCAGGGATTCCCGTAGCGTGAGCTCCAGCTGTTACAGCTTCTGGCCTGTGCCCAGCAGCACTCCCCGACCGTGTCCTTCCAGGGCCTACAGAGCCCAACATTCTGCTGGGATTCCTGCCGCGGGGAAAGATGGCAGAAGCAAGTGCATAGGGCCTCAGGTCGGATCCACTCTGCCACAGCGACCACAGGGCAGTGCTGTGGCTGCGGGTTTGAGCGGGTGGGGGACTCGGCCCTGGGAGGGAAGGCTGGGCCCAGATAAGGGCTCTGGCCTGCTGATGATGCAAAGCTGTGACTAGGGTTCAAGCAGGCAGAGGGACAGGGTCCTTCATGAATGTAAGAAAGGTGTTCCTGGGCCTGACGTGTCCTAGCTGCTAAAGTCCCTCGCCTTGAACACGCTGGGATCCCAAATGGGCACCGGTTCTAATCCCGGCAGCCCCGCTTCTCATCCAGCTCCCTGCTTGTAGCCTGGGAAAGCAGTCGAGGACGGCCCAAAGCCTTGGGACCCTGTACCCGTGTGGGAGACCTGGAGGAAGTCCCTGGCTCCTGGCTTCAGATCGGCACAGCACCGGCCGTTGCAGTCACTTGGGGAGTAAATCATCAAACGGAAGATCTTCCTCTCTGTCTCTCCTCCCCTCTGTGTATCTAACTTTGCAATAAAAATAAAATAAAAAAGAAGAAGAAAGTTGTCTCTGGGGTGATGTGTGGCTGTGAGGCCAGTGAGGATGAGACCACTTGGTAGATTACTGCAAGAAGGGCTGGCCAGGGGCTGGCACAGTGGCTCAGCTGGCTAATCCTCCACCTGCCAGCATCGCATATGGGTGCTGGTTTGTGTCCCTGATGTGCCACGCCCCACCTAGCTCCCTGCATGTGGCCCGACAAAGCAACAGAGGATGACCTAAGTCCTTGGGACCCTGCACCCGTGTGCTCCTGGCTTCAGCTCAGCTCAGCTCTGGCCGTTGTGGCCACTGGAGAGTAAACCAGTGGATGGAAGATTTTCTAATTCTAACTTTCCAAGTGAAATAAACACATTTAAAGAAGGATAAGGAAGGGCCTGGAGCAGTAGCCTAGTGGCTAAATCCTCGCCTTGCATCCACCAGGATGCCACATGGGCACTGGCTCATATCTCAACTGTTCCACTTCCCATCCAGCTCCCTGCCTGTGGCCTGGGAAAGCAGTCAAGGACGGCCCAAAGCCTTGGGATCCTGCACCCATGTGGGAGACCCGGAAGAGGCTTCTGGCTCCTGGCTTCGGATTGGCTCGGCTCTAACTGTTATTACCACTTGGGGAGTGAACCAGAGGATGACAATCTTTCCTCCTTTCTCTACATTCTGACTTTCCAATAAAAACTTAAAAAACAAAAACAAACAGAAAGGGGAGCCTGGATGGGCACTCAGCAGGGCGCAAACTCCAGCATCCACCAGCAGAGGGCGCGAGAGTGCTTCCTCCAGGCTTCATGGAAGCTCCCAGTGGTTGGAGGGGCTGCTGGGCAGCGCAGGGGGCGTCTGAGGCTTAGCAGGGGCTGCTGGGCAGCGCAGGGGGCGTCTGAGGCTTAGCAGGGGCTGCTGGGCAGCGCAGGGGGCCTCTGAGGCTTAGCAGGTCACCTGAGGCACTTGAAGGTCAGGGTCCCCTGCAGGTCCCTCTGCAGGAGCAGAGTGGTCATGTCTGCTGGTCCCAAAGCCAGTTCCCAATCATCTGTGAAGGTGGCCACCACATCCAGAGGTCCCACGAGGGCCCAGCTCTGAGGCCACCAAGGCCGTGGTCATCAGGCTGTTGCTACCACAGGGCGAGGCGGAGACTCAGGGTAGATGCTTAATCTGACCACAGGTCCCTAGACCCGGTTTTGAGATGCTAAGACGAGAACAGAAGCTTCCAGAGGAAGTGGTCAGGGCTGGGTCTCTTTCCACCAAATGACCAGGTTGGTTTGGAGTGACAGACACTGAGACTTGGTGCCTCAGTGGAGGGGGAGGGTCAGAGACCAAAGCCTGGGTGCCAGCCTGGGTCCCGTCTGATGCAGCATTCTGCAGTTTCCTGATTCGGAGTAGGATGAATTGGGGCTCTGTCATCAGCTTGGTTGGGACACCGGAGTATTGGGGTGGGGGAGTTCAGAGGAAATACTGGGAGACCAAGGCCCCATTTTGGGGTAAGAAGGGAAGATGCCCGTGGTTGGAGGTGGCCGGGTAGAAACGGGGGCGCCAGCTGGGGGTGACAGAGGCTGGGGCTGTGCTGCTGTTAGGGACAGCAGAGATGGGGAGGCAGGAAGTGACAGTACCTGGGGGGGCGGGTCCTGCCTGGAGGTTGGAGCAGTAACCCAGGGCCAGAGACATGGGGGTGGGAGGGGTCCCCTCTAGAATCCAACAGGTTAGGCCATAACTCAGATCCTGGCAGCTCCACTTCCCATCCGGCTCCCTGCTTGTGGCCTGGGAAAGCTGTGGAAGATGGTCCCTAGCCTTGGGACCCTGCACCCACATGGGAGACCCGGAAGAGGTTCTTGGTGCCTGGCTTTGGATCAGCTCAGCTCTGGCCATTGCAGGGAGTAAAGCAGCAGGTGGAAGGTCTGTGTCCTCTTCTCTCAGGAAGTCTGAGTTTTAAGTAAAAAATAAATAAGTAATTTTTTTTTAAGTTGAGGTGCCAGACTGAAGGTTTGATAAGCAGCAGAAATTGAAGATCTGGGGACCCTGAGATTGGTGACCTGGCCATCTCTCTCTCTCTCTCTCTTTCTCTTTCTTAAAGATTTATTTATTTTTATTGGTAAGTCAGATATACAGAGAGGATGAGAGACAAAGAAGATCTTCCATCCGATCATTCACTCCCCAAGCGGCTGTAACGGCCAGAGCCGAGCCAATCTGAAGCCAGGAGCCAGGAACTTCTTCCAGGTCTCCCACGTGGGTGCAGGGTCCCAAGGCTTTGGGCCGTCCCTGACTGCTTTCCCAGGCCACAGGCAGGAAGCTGGATAGGAAGTGGAGTAGCCGGGATTAGAACTGGCTCCCATTTGGGATCCTGATGCATTCAAAGTGAGCACTTTACCCACTAGGCCACAGTGCCAGGCCCAGCCTGGTCATCTCTTTTGGGATGTCAAAGACCACTAGACAATTGCCAGCCATGTTCCAGATCCCAAAGTCCCAGGATTTTGCCACCACACTGGCCTAGGCTCTGGTTTGGGGTGAGCGACTCATGTGGGCTGCCTGCCTCACTGCGGGGGTGGTCACAGGCCAGAGGCCAGAAGATTCATTTGGGGTGCTGGCTGCTGGTGTCTGGCTTGGAAGACACAGGGTCAGGACACAGCCATCATGATTGACGTGGCAGACGCAAAATTCTATCGGCATAGCCAGCGACCGGGGCCCTCGTGTCTGGTTTGGGACTTGCAGCATGGGGAGTTCGTGTTGGAGCAGGGTGGGAGTCTCAAGTGGGTCTGTCTTCTTATTTATGTACTTATATTTGAAAGGCAGAGAAGGAGAGACGGGGAGAAAGATCTCCATCCACTCTTTCACCCTCCAGATGGCCACAACACAACACAGGGTCCCCTAGAAGCTGGGAACTCAACCTGCTCTCCCACGTGGGTGGCAGGGCCCCAGGCCTGGGACAGGCACAGACTGAGCCCTTGAACCCACACTCGGGCAGTAGAGGTAGGAGTCCCAGTGGCTTATAATCCTAGGGCCACACGCTCACCCCTACTTATCTCAGATGTTGGGGCATGAGAACAGGCCCCCAGGACCCAGCTGGAGGCCTTGGGCTGGGGAGGCTGTGCGGTTTACAGTGACAGAACATGAGCACAGGGGTTGTGGTCCAGTG